GCTCAGGTTAGAGCTCAGATTACAGCTCAGGTTAGAGCTCAGATTACAGCTCAGGTTAGAGCTCAGATTACAGCTCAGATTACATTACAGCTCATGTTATAGCTCAGATTACAGCTCAGGTTAGAGCTCAGATTACAGCTCAGGTTAGATTACAGCTCAGGTTAGATTACAGCTCAGGTTACAGATTAGATTAGATTACAGCTCAGGTTAGAGCCCAGGTTACAGCTCAGATTACAGCTCAGGTTAGAGCTCAGATTACAGCTCAGGTTAAAGCTCAGATTACAGCTTGGGTTAGATTAAAGCTCAGATTACAGCTCAGGTTAGAGCCCAGGTTACAGCTTAGATTACAGCTCAGGTTAGAGCCCAGGTTACAGCTTAGATTACAGCTCAGGTTAGAGCTCAGGTTACAGCTCAGGTTAAAGCTCAGATTACAGCTCAGGTTAGAGCTCAGATTACAGCTCAGGTTAAAGCTCAGGTTAGAGCCCAGGTTAAAGCTCAGGTTACAGCTCAGATTACAGCTCAGGTTAAAGCTCAGATTACAGCTCAGGTTAGAGCTCAGATTACAGCTCAGATTAAATTACAGCTCAGGTTAGATTACAGCTCAGGTTAGAGCTCAGATTACAGCTCAGGTTAGAGCTCAGATTACAGCTCAGGTTAGAGCTCAGATTACAGCTCAGGTTAGAGCTCAGATTACAGCTCAGGTTAGAGCTCAGATTACAGCTCAGATTAGAGCTCAGATTACATTACAGCTCAGATTACATTACAGCTCAGATTACAGCTCAGGTTAGATTACAGCTCAGGTTACAGATTAGATTACAGCTCAGGTTAGATTACAGCTCAGATTAAATTACAGCTCAGGTTAGATTACAGCTCAGGTTAGAGCCCAGGTTAAAGCTCAGATTACAGCTCAGGTTAGAGCTCAGATTACAGCTCAGATTAGATTACAGCTCAGGTTAGATTACAGCTCAGGTTAGATTACAGCTCAGATTAAATTACAGCTCAGGTTAGATTACAGCTCAGGTTAGATTACAGCTCAGGTTAGATTACAGCTCAGGTTAAAGCTCAGATTACAGCTCAGGTTAGAGCCCAGGTTAAAGCTCAGATTACAGCTCAGGTTAGAGCTCAGATTAGATTACAGATCAGGTTAGAGCTCAGATTAGATTACAGCTCAGGTTAGAGCTCAGATTACAGCTCAG